GTGAACTCAAGTATCGTGAGAGAGTTAGGCTAATAACCGAGTCGATCATACCTATCATCGAGAGCAAGGCCGTGGCGAAGCCGTGATCGAGACAAGTCGAGGACACGAACATCCGATCCGTCATCAACGCTGCTGGGCGTTGCGGGTACGCTGACTGGCGTGCTGGGCGGACTGGAGTGCTACTGCCGTCGCCCGCACGCTGACTGTGCGCAGACAACCGCACGCTGTTGCACTGGCACGCGCTGACTGGCACACTGGACGCTGGCCGGGCGCTGCTGCCGCTGTGTGCGGCAGCGCGACCACGGTCGACCCCTTGCTGACCGTCCGGCGACATTCTCCGACCGAACTGACTTATATTAACATGTTCTGACTATTCATGAGCAACAACTGAATTTAACATGAAAGGGCTGAATTTGTTGGCTGGGTCAATCCCACGGCCGTGGTAGGCTCGCTACGTGCGAGGCCTACGGCCTACGGCCATCTCTCGACCAAACTAGCAAACACCTCGACCAATTTAACTTAACTGGACTTAAAATGACTCACATGAAAATATGTATCACATATGACCTGAAGATACAACAAACGCATATCGAACATGAAAGGGGCGCGGCGAACGCCCGTGCGCCGCCGTCGGCTAGGTGCCGCCTCTTGGCCTAACTAACTTATTAACCGACAACTACAGAACAACTCAACATGATCATTATACTGAAACAATTTAAGAATTAATCACACGGACAAACATGATTATTACTGAAGGCAAAAACCCTCGGCCCGAAGCCACCCGAGGCCACGCGCGATAGGCGCTGGCGACGGTCTTGGGCCAACTCATCGACAAACTTCATCTTTACTCCACAAGCTGATCATACTGAACATAAATCTAGTTATACTGAACATTTAAATGAGAGTTGTCGGAAGAAATCAAAGACTACTCGGTCATTCTTTTACTTAGACATAATCGGAGTTAGGCAGGGTCTTGCTACAAATTCTCGCATAAGAATCGAACACTACACCTTAAATTAACCTAATCAACATGAACATAAGCTGAAGAAGAAAGTACCTCTCCGATCGGTCGACGGAAATCGAAAAATAGGTGTGCTTCTTGCCTTAGCGTGCGCCGTGCGATAGTCCTTCTTTTACCGTGCGATTTTAATAAGAATTTTAGGGGAATTTGTTTAACTCTTACAAGCTGCTGAAGGAGGAAAAATATGTGCTGAATTTGTCTTGAGAAAATGGGGCAAAAATCGTCCCATTCAAGCGTTTTATAGCAAGGCCGTGAGGGAAGGTGATGAGGTAGCTAAGGTGTGGCACTCTCCCTTCATTGCCACTTGCCTCTCATTTAACTAAGATGGGAATGACTCATCCACCTCTCCACTTGCCACGTGTCTATGTCAAAGCTTGAGGGAAACTTGGTTTCCCAAAGAGAAAGAAAGCTCACGG